ACAGTCACAATCAGTTATTGAATATTCTTTCCGAAAAACTACGATAGATGCTACAGTTCAAGAAAATGAACTGATTTGACAAGAATCAATAACACATGAGATGATCCAAATAAGTGCTTTACAGCATCTTTTCTTTCGACATTTTTCCTTTCGATATTTTCACCTTCTATATTTTCCTTTTCGACATTTTGCCTTTTCGATATTTTCCTTTTCGCCATTTTCCGTCAATCCCTTAACTCTTACATAAGAGGAATTCTTTCTTTTTTGTCTAAATAAATTTTTATTGATTAGACTATACTGTTACAAAAGAAAGGTCTCTGTAATATTGCTTTCTTTTTGTCGAAGATTGAATAATAAATTGATATTTCGGTTTTTTTAAAAGTTCTCGGTAATTGAGTATAGTTTATTGTTGTTTATAAAAGAAAAAAAAATTATTTACTTGTTGAATAGTCGTATCATCTAGATTTGTAATATTTTGTTTTTCTTGTTCTGATTTTATAATAGTTTTATCATGAAGTGAACTTTCTAAATTACTCGTTAATTTATTTGTTTCATTAATATAAAATTGTATTGGACTAATATCATTAGATGATCGTCGTTCATCATGTTTAGTTAATGTTAATAAAACATCATTATCATTAAAAATTTCATCATTTACTTGTTTTTCAACATCTTGGACGGAATTTTGTCGAATAAGTTCATTTATACGAACAAGTGCATCTTTTGATCGTTCACCAACTGTATTTGTTGGTGATGTTGATGAACGAGATTTTGTCTTATTTATTGCAACTCCTGTTAACATATCTAAACGAATATCAGCTGGTAATTGTTTTGTATCTGTTGTTGAAATTTTCTTATATTGACTAGATGAATTAATTTGTGTTTGTAAATGAACATTCGATGACTGATCATTATTGTTATCAATTAAAACTAAAGAAATAAAAAATGAAATTGAAGAAAACAAAAAATTTCTTTACTTTTTTCTACGACTTCTTGATCATCTTTAGTATATTTTAAATTTGATTTTGTTATTGATTTTTGTTCATCAACTATAATTGATATTTGATTATTTTTTTGTTGAGATTTTTTTAAATTTCTTCGTTTTTTTTTATTTTTCCATCGACAACAAAATATCATATACAGACGACTAAATACAAAAGCAAATAATTTTGCCATTGTTGAACCAATATTTGCAACAAAAAGCATCATTAATGGTACACCAAATGCACTATAAAGTACAGTAGCAACTTTTCCTGGTATAGTTTTTGTTGTTATATGACCATAACCTTTTTATTTAAAAAGAAAACAAAAGAAAATAAAATTTTATTGTATTTCTTTTTTAATTTTTACCTATAGTTGATACAAGTGTAACAGCATAGAGTATTGCTCCAAAAAAATTCCAATCCGGATCAGCACCTGGTTTTGTTCGTCCATCAAAACCTTGTTGTACTTGTTGAATAACTGTTGCTTCAAATTTTTCAAGTTCTTCTGTTGCATTTAATGTAAAATTTCCTTTTTTATCATGATATGGATATGAATTAACACGTAAAATTTCCTCCCATAATTTATCAAGTGTTAAATTAAGTTTTTCACTCATTGAACGACGCATATCTTGTTCATTATGAGCTTCAAGTGCTTGAAATAACCAACCGCCTAATGCAACATAACCAATCATAACAAAAAAAAGACCAACACGTGAAAACATAAATGCAGTAAATTTTTTACAACATGATAAACAATTTTCTTTTGTACATATTCGTTGATCACCAATTGAAGATGAATCTTTAATTTTTCGACGGCGCATACTAAATAAAAATATACAAAGTGAAAAACAAAAACAAAAATACTATTTTCAAGTATATATTAAGATAACAACAAGGCTTAAAAATCTAAATAAATAATTTTGCATACTTCGATGAAAGTGTTGCCGATCGATAAACAACAAAATTCTGATCAGAATGCATTTTTTTTCTTTTTTTTCTGATTATTTAATATGGATAAAAAAAAAACATTTTTTTTTCCTTTTATCATTTATACGCTCAGGAAGAACAAGATCAATATGCAGATGGATACAATCGAACATCCATAAAACATAGAAGTACATAGACATACGGGAGAAAAAAAACGAATCAGGTTGGTGCCTTCTTTTCTAATCAATACAGAATAAGAATACGTCATCAATCCAGGATGGAAAAAAGAGATAGAAGTAGATACCACGGATGTTTTTATTACTTATTTGATCGGCATTCAATTGTACGTGTACATGGCTTATTGCTAACGTCATCGAACATATGCACGGAAAAAGAGAAACAAATGTGTTATCAAACGAACCATCAACCTATTGTTATGAATTATTCTACCGGAAATCATCGTCATCATCTGGAGTTGAGATGACTACGTGAATGTATGCAAATTCTTACATATAAGAACAAAGTTGATACATTTTATTGATTCTTTTTTATTCGATAACAGTAATAATGTCACCATTGACACATTTACCCTTAAATATATACATATATATGGATCTCACAATTCTTCATTGCCTTGTGTTTCTTTTTTTCATGCAATTAGTTAGACGACATGCAGTGAAACTTCCCGTCAGTTTGTTTATAATTAAGGATATAATGACAAATGCGAAAGTTCTACTTTTAATATCATCATACAAAATAAACAGAGACATCGACGACGAAAGAAAAGTTTTATTCTATACCTTTCGAACCTACTTGAATAGTGATTTCCGAGGTTTTTTTTTATCGTTAAAACAGAAGTATCAATAATTGATAATTGCTGAAGATTTTTTTTTTCAATATTTAATGTATTCGGTGAAGTTGTCGGTTTCTCTTTATTCTGTCGAACAATAATCATACGACGCGCTGATGATGATGAATCTACTCGATGTAAATATGTAGTTGTTGTTTGCATCATATACGTTAGATAAAATAATGTTAAATTTATCGTAGTAAAAGAGTGATATTTTACACGACAGACAATTCTATGGTCAGTTCATCATTTCTTGTTTTGTTTTTTTTTCTTCCTCATGTCGAAAAAAGACAGAAGTATTTCATTAATTATATTAACGAGAACCAAGAGAAATATGTGTGATAAAAAGAAAAAGAAAGAGAAAACGTCTGAATACCCTATGGATCATTTGCAATGAACGAACGACACGAACATAATAAATAATAATTCTATATGGAACTAATAGACTTTATATAACAAGTAATCGATAAAAATAAATGTTAAAGATCGTAGAAAAGTAACAAATTATTGTTATGTTAATGGAATTTGTAATACGATAGATCAGCTGATTTTCAACATTCTCTTTTGTCTTATAATAAAAGAAACAGAAATATTTTCAAATAAGTATTATCTATCGAAAAATGGTTTTTGACAAATACAATTTGCAATAATCAATGCATCAGCATATTTTTCTTTATGTCATAAAAACAGTACAAAATATGTAAGCAATCAATCAATCCAATTAATTATGTTCATTCATCCGATGTTTTAGTTACCATCACTAATTATACTTTTTTTCTAGTGTTAATGTGTGCAGAAAGAGCTACCCTAGTGAATGCATTGGCCTGAAACTCTATCAAGATGACACTACTTTACGTCTCATTTACTTTTTTTGTATGCATTTACAAGCGAAGCACTTTACATACAAGTAAGGAAACAAAAATTGTACCCATAACTTACATAACGAGAGCATAGTTAGCAGTCAAGCGAAAGCGATAACTACTATCATTCTTTAGAAGATTGATCGTTTTTTTTTAAGATATATACACGTACATGCTTTTATAGTTGTGTGAAAAGATATTAGCAAGATTTCATAATTAAGAATATTATTGATAATAAAAAAACGAGATGAAAAGATTTCATAGAATAATTTTTCGTTTTGATCATGGACGAAAAATCATTATGAAATTTGTTTATTTATGCGTGTGTTTATATCAATTAACTAATGATTAATTCTCAGAGGTCAAGTGCTTTTGTTGTGTTTAACCTTATGTGCATAAGTCTATACAAAACAAAAAAGGAAATGCAATTAATTGATGAAACAATAATATAACAAATGCCTATGAATATTATTATTTAAATAAAATAATTACGTTTTCTAATGAATTGTATAACTTATTTAATTTCTAATGTGTTATACTATTGATTAATACAACAAACACAAAAAATGATTCTTATTAATTACCTGTTTAATCAAACACTAAAGTAATATTATTGATACTTACTTAGTTTGACTGGTCGTCAGTTAATATACAAGTGTTCTTTAATATGAACAAAAAGCAAATGTTCTATTTAATCATTCATCCATCTTTTTTCTTTATTCTTAGTCGTTTCTTATTCTGAAACTCGATTGGTTCGGTATGCTCATCATCGACCTTATAACATTGATAGATTGGAGGAAGTTCTTTCTTTCTTTTTTTTTCTCGGTCCCAAATGAGAATGTATACACATTGTATACTATTGAGATCACAAAAGCTGTTTATTGTCTGCACATATCATTATTCATTAGTACGACAAGTAAGAAAATTCTCATGACAACGAAAAAAAAAAAAGAAAAAGAATTCCCTAAGAACAAAAAAGATTTCGAAATTCTTACCTATCATTAGTCGCAATATGACCATGTAATGGTAATAAAAGTACTCGACTAAGACGTCGAACAACTGCATATCGACTTGCACTCATTTTGCAAATTTTTTAATCATTCGTTATCCTATTAATTAAATAAAAAATAAAAGAAAACAGAAAGAAAGACTAAAAATGATAATATAAAATAAAATCGTTCGATCTTCTTCTTCTTCTTCTTCTTCTTCTTTTTTTCTTCTCAGTTATTGATGAGATGGATTTTCTTGAAAGTACTTACGGAGATGATGCTTTGTCTTATGCTTTTCTTCGTTATCGATTATGCGAGCTCGACACTCTCAATGCTCGTTCGCTTGTCATCGAGCAACGATCAATTAATGTCTTCGGTCGCATTTGTCTATGAAGATATATATGGGACTATTATTTGTGTAAAACTGTAAGAAGGTGGTTATTGCAGAAGAAAAAAAGAGAACGAAAGAAAGAAAGGAAGAAAGCGAATACAAATAAAGCTCTACAGAATGAAGATGTATCAACCATAATCAAGCAAACTTTTTATGTCATCAGAACTAACAACTTGATTTTTGTTCATTGATATTCGTGTTTTTATTAAAATAAAAATGATGAATATCCATGTGCTGATTGTAACGACGTCATTATTATATTAATAAGAAACAAAAACAAAAAAAAAAAATACATTAAATAAATTTGGCTTTCTTTTGTGTTTTTGACATGCAAGTAATATTATCTAGTAAACAAATGTACACAATTGAATTTTTAACAAAGACCAAGATATAAAAAAAAAAACAACCGGAAGTGAAAACAAAATATTATTAGAAAAAAAGAATAACAAGATAAATATTTATGAAAGACATGTCTTTATTCAGAGAAAAAAAGTTATACACTTTTATTTTCTCAAAAAATGATTATATAATTACATCATCTTCTTGTTGACTATTTGTTGGTGTATTACTACGATTTGATGAAGTTAGATTACTAAAATAGAAAAGAAAAACTAATAGATTTTCTTTATTATAATATCATATCAATTTTCAAGAATTCTCTAGTGAATTTCAATCACAAGATCAATCGATATGAATTGTGTGATTTTTTTTTCTATATATATAATAAAAGAAAATAATACTTAGTATTATCTCGATTGAAATTAACGTTTGATCCCTGTGGTTTACGATAGTGGCTATTTAGAGTAATATTGCAAAATCTTTATAATATACAAAGGAAATGACCATGAGTATATTAGAACAATATTAGTATTATGTTCGAAACAGTTTTATTCTATTATTGTGTAATAAGTTCAATAGACAGGCGAATAAATTCCAAATAATTTAATTTCAGGGCGATGGAAGATAGATTTGAGTTTTTTTTAAATAATTTTCTTAGCCTCAAAACAAAGATTGAGATATTCATGTGACATATCATGTCAGTCACATATTGAAAGAATGAGTTTCTAAAGAAAAAAAAATTTATCTACACGTAAGCACGACGAAAAAGATTTTGTAAATTATTAAATACATTCGTTCATCATTCGAAACAAAGCTATAAGAAAACTATGAATATATCAGTTTTAATTGAATCGAATATTTCAACTCTTATAAAATTGAAAAACTTATCAATAATTTTTTGATGAAAGAAACGATTAACACCGATCTATTTTTGTCTTATTGAAAAAAGAAAATAGGTTCGCTATTCTGTTAACGACCTGTAAATTGCGTATCATCAGCGGTTTTGGTATACTAAAAATCATATGTACAAAACCGCTTTGAGGCACGATCTGATTCTATTCTTATTAATCATTTATACCTTGTTATGGATCATTAAAAAAATAGAAGATATATTTTTCTTACGTTCTGCTTTTGTTTCTTTGGCATTTTGGACACTGATATTGTTTGTTTTCATGACATTGAAAATGGAAGCATGATTGACATACTAAAAAAAACAAAAATATACTTGATACATTTTGCTTAAGATTTTCAAGAATTTAACCTGGACAAACACTTGTTATATCTAAATCAAACGGAAAAATAATATCTTTTTCATTCATACATATTTCACATATAAATCCTTTAGCATAACATAATGGACAATTTAATACATGTTCACGTAGATTAATTACAATTGGTTCAAGCACCTTTATTAAATCACCTGATTTTGTCTAAAGAAAAATATTCGTTTTTGTTTGTTTACAAATTTATTTTTATTACAAAAAAAATTTACTTTAAATAAATCTTGTATTGAATACATATATGGATCTGTATAGATATATGATGGTAATTTTTGTAATATTTGTTGATAACTATTTTTAAGAAAAAAAAAAAAGAATTTTAGTTTAACAGAAAAAAAATGATTCTTTTGTTTTATTACTTTTTTTCTTCAGCAAAACGACATGTTAAAATATAATGACGAAGATAAAAAAGTGACCAACGTAATTCATCAATTAATCTTAATTGTTTATTTTTTTCATATAATTTTGAATTTAAATCATTTAAATTAAATGTTGGATCACTATATATACGATTTAAATAATCAAATGCAAAATTTGATACACTATGTTTGCTTGAAAAATCCCATTTTGTTATTATATATGATGGTAAAAATGATTTTTTATCAGAATGACAACTACGACAAAAATATTTTCCTAAATATATTAATAGAAAAAAATTTTTTTTTTTTTTTATTTGTTTGAAAATATAACCTGTATATTCACAATATCTATAACGATGTGCAAAACCTTTTTCAACATGACGTCCACAACCAGCACACAGATAGCCTTGTTTTTTTAATTGAGAATCACGACTAAAACAAAAAACAATATTTATATTTTTATCGCGTTTGAATTTATTTGTATATGTACTTTGGAGATTGATGAATATGAAAAACTAATTGTTCACGAGGTGGTGCCCATTGACTATTACCACGGCATAGAATCTTTAATAAAAAAAGAAATTTAATTTTACAAAGTAATCAAATCGATATTATAAAAAAATTTATTGTTTCCGCTCAACTACTTAATTGAACCTGAAGGCTTGGAAATTTTGATCGGCTTTTTTTAATTTAATAGGAAAATTTCCAAAGGCATCGCGCTTTCGAATATTGAAAACTACAGATCGCTAGCTACTTTTATGTCTGACGAGGGAACATTCCCAAGTGATCCGCTTCGTTTTGACTCATTCACATCTCATTCGAAACCGTATATTGCGATAAGAAAAAGCCTAAAAGAATTCGTGCCCATGGTCTACTGGTGAAGAGTTATGACCGTTTTACTGAAATTTTTACTGTGAGCCAGGCATTTAGGGAAAAACCCAAATGAAGAATTTCGACCTGAAATTTTACCTATAGATAGATTTAATAGTCATTAGATAGTCCTGAAAGTTTCAACGAAAACGAACATGCCTTTCTCAAGTTATTCAATTTTCAAAAAACCAGCTGTTTACCATAGGAGGGCACAATAATCCAGTTTAGTTGGACATTGAATATCTCGAGAAAGACAGGTTCGTTGTCGTTGAAACTTTTAGGACTATCTAATGACTATTAAATCTATCTATAGGTAGAATTTCAGGTCGAAATTCTTCATTTTGGTTTTTCCGGAAATGCCTGGCTCACAGTAAAAATTTCAATAAAATGACCATAAATCTTCACCGGTAGACCATGGGCACGAATCCTTTTAAGCTTTTTCTTATCTCAATACACTCTATCGAATGAGGTATGAATGAATCAAAAGGGAGCGGATCACTTGGGAATGTTCCCTCGTGAGTTATTTGTGATACAACAAAATTAATTGACTTTTTCAATGGATAATAATAACATTCTTTTTTTTTTGACTGTATTTTAGAACTAATAGAAATGCAAATTATATTTATTAGAAAATAATTTACCCTTTGACCATCTTCGTTCGAAAGATAATCTTCACTAGGATCAATTGAAATTCCATCTGGAAGAGGTAATAACTTGAAAAAACAGAAAGGAATTTTTACTTTCATCAAATAATTTTACCTCTTGTGGTAAATCTTCATCATGTGGAATCATCCAAAAGAGTTCAGGTGCTGTTGGAACTTTAAAATTTTTCCATGTTTCCATTAATGCTAATGCTAAACAAACACAAAAACAAAATTCGATTAATAGACAATCAAAAACAAATCATTTATAATATACCTATTGCTTCAGCTGATGATTCTTGTGCACTAAAATAATGAAATAAAAACAAAAAAAAGAAATTTTAAGATTAACCAAATTACTTGAAACTTAATACTGAACTACGGGTCGACCAATCAAAATTATTCGGTGGTTCAGCTAAAATTAAAATAAAAAACTTGATAAATTATCTTTTCAAAAAAGCAAAACAAAACAATTATTCACATGAATCTGCAATTGATTCTGTTGTTTCATCATGTTGATCAGATAGTGATATTTCTCTATTTAAACTCTAAATAAACATATACTTATATTAAAAATTCGATATCAAATAGAAAAATTTAAATAATCTAACTTTTGTTCCATTATTTAATAATAGTTTTGAATTACAAGGTATATATTGTTGTGTCGGTGGTGATGAACTACTATTTGATGATGATGTATGTGTTGTTTCACATGGTGAGAACATATTAGCCACTGATGATGACCATGATTGACCAAAATATTTATTACATTGTTGTGTAAATTTTATTTGTTCAATAGCTGATATAATCGCTTCACTGAAATAAAAATGAGCATTTTCCTAAAAAAGAAAAATAGAAAATCAACTAATGATGGACGTCCTTCAACTGATAAATCATTTTTGAATTGAGACTGTGTACATGATGTAGATTCGAATGAACTATGTCTTTAACTTATTGCTATGGAGATATTGTACTTTTAAAGGAATTTTTAAAATGAGTGACATGGTAACAGAAAAACTGATTTATCAAGATGTTGTCACGTTTCGTATCCTAGGATGAGGTGGTAGAAAAAATGTTAACAACAACGTATGTTTTGTACTGTTCTATTATGTCAAAGAGAACAAAATAAGGGGTTGCCGCATTTTCTATGACCTTTTCTTAAAAAAATTTATAAGTATCACAAAAACTGAAAAGGATATTGTTCTAGAGATTTTTGGATAAATTTCTTTTTTTTAACGGTTTTTGTAATACTTTTAAGTTGTCAAAGCAAGGTCGTAGAAAACGTGAAACCCCCTCATTTTGTACTCGCTAATATACCATTATTAAAAATTAGCTTCGGGAAAATTTTCCGGGACATGAAAACGTTCATGTCTGGTTTTTTGAGAAATTTTGCCATCAGAGTTCATCTATGAAATCTTGCTATAGAATGGATTAGACAGAAAACTCCAACGGCTACTAATATTATTATCTATATATAAACTAATTGCTTTATATTATGAAACAAATATAATAAACATGTTCAACTTTTTTTTCACCATCTTCTCTTAGGATAGTAGACGCGATAAAATCTGAAACATGCACAAGAAAAACTATTCTTATTAAGATTTGTCTCTATGCAAAGTTTCAAGCCGAAATTCGAATATCAATTGTTCTTTTACCAGGTCATTCATTTCAAATGTACCACAAAAATACGAAATCTCTACAGTAATAAGCTAAGAATACGAACTATTTTCATAGTATTCATAGCTTCTTTGAGTCTACATAATACACATAGTTTCGACTCATACATGATTTATTAGTTAGAAGACTTCTTTTGTAAAGAAAAGAAAAGAATGTCAATTTTACTTTTTCAACATCCGTTCGAGTTTTTAAATCACATTCACGTATATAATTATCTAATGTTTGACCTTTTCGGGGCCAAAATAATGATGAATGTGGAAGACGTGCAGCTAAAAAAGAAAAATTTATTAGAAGAAAATTTACAAAAAATAAAAAACAAAATTTTTTTTTTCTAACCAAAGGATCAAAAGTTAGAGGGTAAAAAGACTCGTAATTTTCATGATATTTGCTAGGAAATTATATGCCTTGTATTATGTTAAACAATTATTGAACGTGTATAGAAGAAAAAGAGAACAGAAGAAGTATCTAACAATACGAAGAAAATAACGGAAGTAGAGAGGAACTGCAATATCATAAATGAAATATAAATCTTTCCTAATTATTTCCTTGAAGTATATTAACTTCGTCAAAAAACAAGAAAACCAGATATTTGTTAATATTATTTAGTGTGGTAATGTTTGCTGTGCAATGAGCTGTTAGTTCGAAAAATAACGTGAGTACTACATTCAGTTTAATGTAAAAGTAGTGACGTGGCAACATTATTTATGCTACAGTTGTTTTGCTTATCGAAGTGCACGGATAGGTTTACTGCTTTTGTTTTATTTTCATCTAATTGATTATGCATTCTAGACCATACTTTCATTTAAACACCAATTAAATCTTGAGAAACTGTATTATTACATGAGTAGGTTTTCATTTGATAGTTATAGTAACGAATTTTTATAGAAGAAAGAATATAATTTCTTCACCACTTTTATTAGTCTCAATAGCGTAGCCAGAAATTTTCCAAAGAGTGTGCACACCAGTAGAAAAATAAATTTTTGTTTCTCAAAAAGATTTTTTGCCCGTATCCCCTCCAGATATTCTTTGGCTAAGGAGGATGCCCGAGCACCCTGGGTATGCCTCTGATTAGTCTCGATCTTAGTTTTGTTTTGTGCAACTGAGAAAAGTATTTGAAATCCAATATAGGTTTTTGAGTGTATAGAAAAACTAGATAAACAATTTGAATATAATAATAGTATCATTAATCCATTATCTATATGTCTCAGATTGGAAGATAAACATAAATCTTATTAAAAACTGTTTGTTTTTGTGTAGAGGATCATTTTTAAAAAATATATACTTTGTTTTCAGTTCTGTTGAATCTAAGACTGGAAATATTTTTAGTCCTTTTTTTTCTTGTCTTTCTTCCATTGCCATTCACTACTATTACCAGATAGTTACGAGGTGGTGAAAAGTTTTGAGACAAAATGGTTGCTTATTTTTTGGTCACCTACGAAATATTTCTGATGAGTTGAATAACAATACATTTCGACGAATATTTTGTGCTCTATATGAATGTAGGATTAGAAATATCGTGTTTACATGTGTTCGAACATAGTGAGGAGAATTTGTGAAAATTCTTAACAGATTCACATAGTCCTATTTTAGTTAATAACACTAAACTATGCATACAGTTTCACTGAAGCACATTCTAATAAACGATAGTATATATTAGAATGAAGTTAGAAATATGTAGTGTTAGTATAAATACTGATCAGTGAGTTTCCGATACACAGGATCTACTGGAACACTGATAACAATGACTTCAATATTCACTGAAGCATTAGTATTTGCGTTCGCTACAATATTGAGACACCAACAATACTATGAAAATATTCTTTTTTTGTAGTAGTGTATTCCAATACTTGAGTAAATATTGGGATCAGTGAAGTCTGTGTTCGGTAATTACACTGAGTTGATGACCAGTCAACTGATACGATATCTCTCTAAATGAACTACTCATTTCATTCTTCTAATATACGAATAATTTCAGGTTACACATTATTATAATTTAAAATACAAGATAGAAGATATAAAACAAAAGATTTTTGTCGAGAGTTGTAAATTAATAGAGAAACAAGATACCTTAGATCAAAGAAGGTGAGTACTATTGAATATTTAATATTTTCAAAACCTTTGATGTTTTCATTAATGACTATGATTATCTCAGGAATATTTTGTTTTCTTCAAAAGTTATTTTTATATGATACAGAAATATTTAAATTTCAATCGAATAGAATTTTTCTAAATTACTTCGTATTGGATAATCATTTGTTGATATTGTAATACTTTGATCCATTGGTGATGTTGAATTCATTGAAAGTATTGTTTCATCATTATTGATAAGTGTTGATAAACGATTTTTATATAAATTATTATTTTGTTCATCAATTAATGTTATTTCACTTGACATTGATTGACGATTATCATTATTATTATTATTATTATTGTGTTCGAAATTAGTTGATTGTCCTAACGTTAATTTCGTTGGTTTATTTTGATCAAATATATCCACACGAGAATCATAACTCGAACCATATGAACCATATTCATCTGATTGAAAATAGGATATACTTGGAATATTAGTTTGTCGTTTAAGTTGACTTTCATCACATATTGATGTTGGTGATGGTGATGCAACACGTGAATGATTTGAATTAATTGAATATTTTGGAATTGAAAATATTGGATCACTATGTATACGACGATGAAGTATACGTTGTTGTATAAGAGAATCTGAGAAATTAATATACAATGAAAGATAAGAAGAAATTTCTTTTTTACCAAATTTTTGTGGAATATCAGCATTTGATTTTTTATTTGTGACTACGATTGGTGATGATGATGATGATAATATGTTAGAATGATTTATAACATCATTTGTTGATGTTGTTGAGTAAAGTCCCACAATTGACTAAAGAAATATGATATAAGAAGAAGAGAAGAAAAATGGTTTTTGTTTCCTATTTTTACCAGTTTAGGATCAATTTCAATAAGTAATGATGGATCACTATATTCAACAGTTCGTACACAAATAAGAAATGCATGATAAAATGATGGAATTCGCATAAGAGCATGAGCTAAAACGACAAACAATTTATTTGTCTTTCTTTAATAGATATCAATCATATAGGAAGAGATTAATCGAGTGCACGAAGTAAAAGAAAGACAAAAAAATAATATGTCGTCTATTTTTCTTTTAATAGTTAAAAAAAACAGAACATAATTAATAAAGAGAATGAGTAAATATGGAATCTTAATAAAAGATATCACAACATACGCTAATCATGTACGTATTTTCGACCTAAACTTGAATGAATAGAGCAGAAAATAGGGTTTAATATCTTAATCCTACAAACAATAATTAACATTTAATAAGTTCTGAGTTTGACACAATAGCGCAAATTATTTTCGGTCAAGAAATAAAGGTCATGTTAAGCCGGAAACTAGTCACCGAGTCTGCCCAATCGGAACAAGAAAAATTTATCCACCAGAGATTCCTGCTTCTATATATCTATTATTTTCCTAAGTTTTTCAACGATAGCCTGCTGAATATTGAAGGCTTCAGAATACTGGGAATCAATGCCCTGGAACAGTAAAAAGCTGAAAGAACAAAAATATTTTTTTGAACTCTTTCGTGAATAGGCATAGACTTGCAAGGTGACTTTATAAATATTAATGTTTTTTCAGTTTTTACTATAGTTCATGAAGTTATGTCAAATGAGTAACTTATTGCGTTTTTATGGAGTCGAAGTATTGAATATGATCTTTTGCTTTATTCATTAAAAGATGTACAAGAAAAAGGAATGGTTGCATTTTTTCTTTATTAAGTACTGATAATCCATTAGATATGTTATCGTTTCTTTATATACATATATCTTTCAAAAATTAATCTTCATTGTTATTAAAAGATTAGAATTTATAAATAATAATAAATGACACGAGCTAGATTACCGACTCTGTAATTTTATTTAAGGATATTAAATTAGAAAAGCATTGATTTTTTATCGTTTCCGATAGATTCATCATTCTGCCACACCCACTCATCTTTATTTTTTTTTCCTCCGCATTCAACATCCGGTACCCGACGATGAATTTCCTTGCCTTCTGCTCCTTATCTATTATACACATCCAATCATCTATAGTACTATCGTCTGCTTTATTCAATTCTTTAAATCCTAATTCTATCTTCAATGTCATTCATTATACTATCAAATCAGTTTTTTTTCTGGCATGATTTTCCAAAAAAAAACAATCAATGCCTAGACATTGAAAGACTTTATTTGTAGTTTTCACTTGAGAAAAACTCTATAGAAAAAAAATTTTTACACTACATTTCTTTTTCGTATTCTTTGTTTTAGTATTTTCAAAGAATTTTTTTACTTCATGCTCTTCTACTAAACATCCTTTTTCTTATAGTATTTTAATCTTTACAGGCATCATTATAATAACTCATAAGTATACGTAAATTCTATGAACACGCCCGTGTTCTTTTCCTTCCGTCTTTGTTAATTCTTATAGAAAAAAAGTATTTCTATAAAAATCAATTTCAACAGAAATTGATTTGAAATAAGTTTTCTTTTTTCGATTATTACATATATTTAGTAAAGAGAAAGCAATTAAAAGAAAACCTCGGCACACTTTCTATTAACATTAACAAGTTAGTCAAGAAAGAATAATTGAGAAATATATCAGTCAACATGATTTTATGTAACTTGACCTACTATACAATATTCACCATTAAGACTCCCCCTTTTTTTTTTTATTATCTTTTGTTGTGTTTTCAAAGAATCGTTCGTTCCATTTACAATTAAAGATCATATTCTACTCCCACGAGACAGCTAAAATAATACGGATTTTGTCCGTATATATTGAGAATCATAAAAATATAACACTTCAAATCCATCATTCACCATTTCTTTTCCTATCTATCTATCTGTCTATTTCATTATATCTTTTTCTTTTCTCTATTATGTCAGCATAGAATAAAAACAAGAAGAACGCCAAACTACATAGTCCAATAACACATTAAAAAAAGAGAAGAAGAAGAGTATGCAACATCAATCAATGCTCTTCTTCTTCGTTACAACGGCCAACAAAATTTGTTCGTCGCCTAGTCGCATTGTCCTTCTCCTATTATTTGTTTTATTTATTTCCTGTGTATTACCATCTATGTCAAATGCTTATCCATTTTATTCATCATCAATATCAATAACTGACAATAACAATAACGAGGACAACAACGATTTTGAACATCGAAATTGGTTCGTGTTAAATAAAAAAACTTTGAATGATGATAATGACAATATATACTTAGAACGTAAAGAACGTGGTACAGGTTTTTATATTGTTCGTAATGGTGATTATATTCTTTTTATTCCTGATTCGAAACATCATTTTACAAAAAATATGCGTCCTTATATCGGTCGTCGACGTTAGACGTATATATGTGTATTTACTTTTTAAAAAATATATCATCTTTAACATGTTTATTCCAGACAACAGAGAATAAATAAAAACAAAAAGAAAAATTAAAAAAGAAATAACTTACGATAATAATATTGTTCAAGTAAATCATTATCATGTTCAGCACAGGATAATTGTGAAGATAAACATTGACTTATAACTGATTGATCAATCCATTGTTCGACAGATAATCGAATATTTTCTTTATAGTATATATCTTGTAGCAAATGAATATATCGCTGAGAATTCGCATTTAAACGAACAATTAATTGCCATAATTGTTCATAGACATCTTGGGTATTCTAGCAAAAGAAGAACAAATAGAGAACAATTAGGAGTGAACTCCTTTTGTGAGATTTCAATTTTTTAATTAAAAATAAGTCAAAGTCTATTTTGGTTTAGTCACACTGAATACATCGGATATGCATGACACGTTCATTTTGTATTTTTATTAATTATCTTTTTGGTATATGTTTTTTATTAATAATTCTAATTTCATTGATATAATAATGAACATCCAAATTTTCATATGTTAATGATCAATATAATTATTCATTAATATTCTAACTATCTATTCAAATTTCGAATAATACTTTCTTAGTTGTAATGTTGAATTCACATAGCTCATTCTTTTTATTGCTTTAGAATATAAGATGAGTTTCAATGCAAATGAAGGCTTTACCAATATATCTTAATACTTTATTTTCCTAGAATTATTTCATTTATTAAGAAAAATGAGAAAATTTTCTACATGAATTTTTTCATAAAACATATTCTATATGTCAATAGTTAAAAAAAGAAATGATATAACATTACACATGCACACGTTCAGGTATGAATTTAACACCTACACAACTGTAAATGAATCATTAATACTTGTTCAGTACAAAAGAATAATCAGTGCATACATTAAATTAAATGATTTTTTTTAATCTATTCAATTTCCGTTTAAACTTTATAAATGATTTAGCATTTATTGTCTATTCCATAAAAGTATAATTAAATTATAATAAACACTTTGAAATTGTTCGAGATGAAGAGAACAAAAATTCATATTATATTAAATCTATAATAAATTTCTATGCATTATATTAATATGTATATATCATAATGAAAAAAAACAATGTATCATCGATTATATCTTACATGATATGATAATAAATTTATTCAAATTTTCTCTGATACTAGATCATAGAATAATAAAAGTATATGTCATGATTCATGAACCAGAAATGAGACTACTACATGGAACATTTCTAATTTATTTTAAAAAATCAATTCAAAAATTATTCTTATGCTTAATATATTATTGAAATGTTTTTTTCTTAATTTCTAAAGAAATATAGCTTTCAATCAAACTTTTATATTGGCCTACGCATTAGTTTATTTAATCCATTATTAGTTTTAAGAACTCTATTGGATTATGAATGAAGAGAAAGAAAATAGCTCTTATACGATAATAGATTGGTTTTTATATCAACTGCTCTCTCATTAAATTATATTCCTATTAATAGAAAAAAAAAAAAGAACAACGAAGAAATCAAATTTAATCATGGCTGTTTCATGACATATGCTAGAATATTATTTATAGGACATTTAATCATCAAACTGAGTTTACTTTTATGTAAAACTTTAAAATATTAGTAAGAAACTATCTTCAGTGTTATATTGCTTTTTAAAATACACAAATTACTTCCTCGACAACAACAAAAAAAAAAAAAGAGGATATGGAAAAGTAATATGAACTTATTGTTTTTCGGATTTTTCCATATGTTGCGTATACTTAAATAAAACTACTTAATCTAATATACAGACATATTCAATATCTTGATGATGACAGCAAATAATTATCAACATGTCTGGCAAATTTTCTTTTACATGGCTATCAAAACGTGAATATACTGATCAGTGGACCGAAGGTAATAATAAAAGGCTGTTAGCACAAGCCCTGCGGGATTAAAATGTGAAACACAATGTAGCTGCTGTTACTAATCATGAGAAGATTGTTTTTATACTATCTATTCTCGGACACATTTCTGCACCATGTTTTTATTCAATCCTACACAAATGTAATAAGGAAAAAATTCATATATATAATAACGAGACATTATTCATATGCAGTCTTCTGGTTCATATATTAACGTCTGCTACAGTTTGTGGGAGTGGAAGAGGCAAATGTTTAGTTTTGCACTGCAACACTACGCTTATATCAAGTTTCACACTAAAACTTGAGTTCTTTTCAATAAAAAGCGTATACATTTATTTGAAGTACATTTAGTGTATTGTCTGATAAGTCAATAATAAAGTTTTCTACTGTCTATTTCAAAATATAATATGTTTCATTATTGTTTTGAACAACTTTCGATAGGAGCAATATAGAGACATGCGGTTTTCACTATTTAAGAGAGAAGACATGTGATCATCAGATGAGTTCTTCGCGAGGATATTTTGAAGTAATGTCCCGCTCAATCTGCACAAGACCGACATTCCTAATTTATTTCCTTGCAGAATTATAAGACTTTTTTTGATAGCCTCGATTTCAATTAATTAAATCGTTATCACACAAAAAAAGCAGCTAGACAAGGATAATTCATCGTACTGAATCGAATGTTAAAATTTTATTTTTACTTTCGAAATTATCTGACTCTGTTATCTCAATATTTCTGAAATTTCGATGATCGCAAGTCATTCTCTTTTGAATGGTGACAATCGCATGTCTTTATGATGTTCCTATCAAAAGTTATTCAAGAGAACAGTGAAGCACGGATAGTAGATATCATGTTTTTGAGAAAATGAAGTTCAAAAAATGATTTGAACTTCTTAAAAGTGGAGTCTACATTACTCATATATGCAAAGATCATACTATAAAATAATAACATACTTGTTTGAGACAATGTGTTAAAATAGCCAGAATAGCCAGTCGAAGTCTTTCGATTGCACCATATTTTGTTGTCAGTGAATCACCTCGAAATTGAATTAATAATTCAACTGTTGATTTTAAATTTGATAAAAGACTATTGACGGAAGGAGTTCTAAATTATTGATAAAACAAAGATTATATTTATAGATTCAAAAACAAAAAACAAAAATTTAATTCAATCAAACTAAACTTACGAATTATTCATTATTTATACAATTAAAACTAAATGCAGTTTATGTTAAATTAAGTCATATTTTATTAAAATTATATCTACAACAACAACAAAAAAGAAACATCATTTAGATTAGTTAATTGATTCAATCTATTTTTATTTTTTAATTGTAAGATAAATTTTTCTTTAATAATAATATTTATATATATATATATATTACTATTACACCTGTACCTAAGAGAAAAACACACTATCAGCAAGATGATCAAATAAGATATTTATGACCTTTATGAAAAAGACAAGATTACATTTTGATAAAATGTTTTACTGATAAAAGCCTGAATTACAATGATTTCATATTTAAAGAACCTGAGAATCTTTGAATAAATGAAGATTATACGGATTAATATATTTGATAATTTATATTGATTTAAATATTTGATATTAGCAAATAGAAATAAAATTTCAAGTCAATATCAATTTTGAAAATCTTTTTCTTCATATCATAGAAATTTCTTTAAAGTGATAGAAATATATTCGAAATGATTCCAATAATATTAATCAACAATTCTTCTTCATTTTATTAACATAAAAATCTATCAAGAATTTAAGACATCAGCACGATTACACATAGAATTAAAATTTCTATTATTAATCTATGACGCAAAAGTCTTGGCACAAAATATTTGATATTATCAAATGTGTATTCAGATTTTCCTGTTAGGGTAAGATTAAACAACTCTAGCACTAAATTTTGTAAAAAAAAAAAAAGTTAGAACTGTATCTATAAAAATCAAAATATCAGTTTTGGTGAAATTCTTAGAAATAGGCTTCTATTCATTAGAGAACCATCCGAATTGATAACTGTCGTTTGAGCTCATATTCGATCTACAAGGATGTTTTCGTGAGATTAGCAAAATTCTCAAAAAAAGTTCGTTTTCATGACCGTTTGAAGTCGAGTTAGGATCGTTTTACTGAATTTTCGAAACGAAATTTTGCTCATATACAGCATAGAATATCCGAAAAGAATGTTCTTTCGTGAATATTCTTTTCGGTTGAAATTTTTAGGATAATGCTATGGACAGAATTTTACATCGAAATCTTGCTTTTGTTGCTGAGTCAAAAATTCAGCTAAAACGATCATTATTCCATTTCAAAGATCCATTGGGACGAACCCTTTTAAACTTCTGTTACTTTCATAAAATTTTTCTTGTCGACTCCATATTAAGCTCATATCAGTTCCAGTAATTTCCTAATCACCGTTACTGCAAAGCATTTAGTTCTTTACAAAATGTGAAATTTTATCTATACGTTTTCACTAAACAACTAGTTTCAATGGAAATGAATATTGATAAAAAAAATCGTTTTTAAAAATGCTAAAATAAATAGCACGCGATGTAGAAAAAACTTTGCTCTATTACTCTGAACCAATAAAAATTGTTTTGGATTTTGAATTTAATTGATTTCAATCGAAATGTAAATTTGATCAAAATAGTATTCTGTACAATTATAAGAGCCCGGCAGATTCGGGTTTGAAAATTTTCTATTAATCGAATCCACAAACTTTGGACTCGATGAGCCCTATTAGTCTGAAAAAAACTGTAGAGTGCGCTAGTCACCGAATAATAAAAAAAAACTTATTTCGTATTTTCGGGGCGAATAGCTAATTTCAATTACAAAATATTTCTTTGAGAATATCAAAGTATGATTCGAAAATTTTGGACCTGATGAACCCTAACAGCCACTATATTCGACCTTTTCACATGATCTGCTGATGGTTATTCAATATTACCACGGAAGAAAATTTTGAATATAAAGAATGAAAAAGTCTGATTCCGACGATTCAAACCAATTATCTTTAAATGGTTGAAATATAAGCGAATAATTTGTGCCATAGGTTAATATTAAATCTTTTTACTTTTTTTGTTTTGTTATATAAGAAAATTAATTAAGCAATTAGAAATATAATTTATCTAATAAAATTACATATCATGTTACAATATAATTTTTTCTCTCTAGATTTTCGAACAAAAATTATTTTATGAAAATTTCTAAAAAGAAAAAGGACAAAAAAATATTTTTATTTTTATTCAATCTAAAAAATTGCTTACAAAATTCATAGATAAAATAATTCCAAATTGTTAGAAAAGAAAAAAGAAGGAAAAATAAACATCATGTGTGTCAATCCATATTTTACCCAAACATATATCATTTGATCCAATCCGTATGGAGAGGAGCACGAACATAGGAATCAGTCTGTCAAAACATACTTATTCATTATTGTCATGTGTTGAAATTTCTTTTTTTCTTTTAAATATTCGTTGTTATTTCGTATTGGTTTTATCCTTTTTAGATGTAAAAAAATCTTTCAAAGAGTTCCCAAATCCTTTTCTTTCTTTTCTTTCTTCCATCCGTCCCTTTCTTTTAATTTATCATCATCATTATTATTTATACAATGTCACCCGATCAACATCAACAAATACCAGCAAAAGTTTTAGACGACTTATGCAGGTATTATTATATTCTATTAAAAATACAAATAAATTATTTTGTTTTTATAGTCGTTTTATTATTAATATACCAGCTGAACAACGTGAAGATCTTGTTCGTGTATTATTTGCTGTTGAATTAGCTCATTGGTTTTTTATTGATTTCTATTGTGAAGATTATAATGATTTACATGTATGCAATATAAAGGAGTTTGCCCAGCAAAGTAAAAAAAAAAAAAAAAAAGATTAAAATAAAAATTTCTATTTATTGATTAAATTAGTTTTTCTACATTGTCCATTTTTACGCGATTACGTTCATAATCTTGATACAATTCTTTCACGTTGGCGTGGTTATAAATTAAGTGTACCAACATATGGCGCAGTTTTATTAGATCCAACATATGATCATGTTTTACTTGTACGAGGTTTTTATAATCGTGAAAGTTGGGGTTTTCCAAAAGGAAAAGTACAAGAAAATGAAAGTCCATTAAAATGTGCTATACGAGAAGTAATATTTAGTTTTTTTTTCTAGTTTGAATTTATTCATAAGAACAATTTCTTTTTTAGGTTATGGAAGAAGTTGGTTTTGATATGAAAGATCGTGCTTTTGATGATCAATATTTAGAACGTGATCTTAATGGACAACTTATTCGATTATATATTATTAAACATGTACCACTTGATACTAAATTTGCTGCTAAAACAAAAAATGAAATTAAAGTAATTGACTTTCTATGAATTATTTTTTTTTGGTCAAAAATTTTCGAACTCTATGGGCTCTAGTTGAAAGTTAAATGGGTTAATTGTTTTCTCATCAGACGAATGTGGTGAAACTAGTCAAAGCAAAATTGAATTTGTGTCTATGATTTGCTTAGCCTGAATTATAAACGTTCTTTTGAAATATTGAGTATATAGCAATATCTTACGAGCAAAGCAATAGAATGAAATTTGTAAAATATTGTAATAGTTTTGAAAGTTGGTTATTGACGAAATCGAAAATGAAAGTCTCGTAATTTATATTTCCATGAACATCTCACTTATGAGTAAGTCCTCCAGATGATTAACTGCTTTTTACTCGAAATAGTATGCATTATTTATATTCTAATGAGTTATTCATACATTGTAAAGATCTTCTGCTGTTACCTCATCATTACGAATATAATGCGTCAAAGTCACCGTCCCCCTTTAGAAGCCTCGGAAAAACTAAGTTTTGAATTTTCACTTGAAAATTTTGTATTGGTATAAATTTCAACCAGAATAGTTTGTTCTGAATTTTACATCAATCACATACATTGATAGATTTGATGTGATTATATCACACTAGAACTAGACAAAAAGATTTGAAAGTTTTATGATAAACTATTGTCGAAGTTGATTTAAAAGATGCAGAATCTCATCACTAAGAATGTCACAGCAGGAGACTTTTACAATGTATTCATAGCTCATTAGAGTCTAAATGATGCATACTATTTCGAAACAAAAACGATTAATCATTTGAAGAACTACCTTCGTTACAAGCCGAACACTTCAATAGAACGATCCTTATAAATTCCATCGACAGTTCGGGATATTTTTTTTCTATGAGCATAAATCCGAATATTCATTGAAAACTCATTGTTCGAGTTTCGTGGAAATGTGTTATATCTAATCTCAGGAGAAATCAAAGCACTTTTTGAAAAAAAAAATAGTTCTCTTGATGTGTTACAGTCATCAAATAAAATTAATAACTTTTACTAATTGAACTCATTGTATCATTTAATATTGTTTTCTAACAAGTTTTACACTCTATAATTATATTTTCTATTTATTAAATTTATATTAACATATTCTATGTATATTGATGAGTCTTGATTCTGAACCTGTAAAATTTAATCATATAATGATTTTCAATAGGATTTATTAAACATTTATCTACTCTGATATTCTATTATTTAGAATAGTCGCAAAAAAGTTCTACGACTAAGTGAAAAGTATCTAAACTTTAATTTTTTAGTTTCATTAATTGAGTATGTTGAACTATGATCGATCTTCATGTAGAGGAATTACAAGGTCAAGAATATTTCAACGTTTTATGAGATTCGAACAGTTCAGGAATAAAAGTTTCATGTCAATAGTTTGTTTGATTTAAGAAGTAAACTTTATCTTCAGTTAATTTTACTCATTAGTCTTGAAATTTTCTGCAATGAATGCTTTTTTCTTATCAAATTTTCTTTCAAAATGTCACGATTACATCCATCGATAGACAAGAGATCGTACCAGACAATAGAGACTTCCTTGTATAACTCAAAATTACATCAGACTGAAGTACTCTATTTGTCACATAATATAGACATGCGAACCTTTATTTCTTAATCAGAAAATGTAGATTAACACGTTAAAATAATGCAAAAAAATAGAAAAAAACTCTTTTTTTGGGTCCTAGGGAAAAATATCAATGCTTTTATTCGAGATTCTTTACATTGAGACTTATCGACCTCGAATTGTTTCTAACAATGAAGATTTACAAAGTTCTATTTTTAATCAAAACATTAGGTACAAGGATATCCGTTCGCGTGACTACTAAAAATATGTTTGTCACTTCAGTCTATATATATATATATATTCATAAACATTTTTGTACAATATAATTCTAGGAAATGCGTTGGTTTCGTATATCTGATTTACCATGTCATAGACGTGATACTACACCTCAAGTTACATTAGGTTTGAATCCAAAAGCTTTCTTTATGGTTATACCATTTATAAAGTATGAATCAATTGAATGAATTTTATAAATTTGAAAAAGAAAAAAAAAAAATTTCTTTTTGTTCTCAGAGATTTACGTCGTTGGATAAATCAAGAATGTGGAATTTACTCATCATCAAATGGTGATTCAGATAATGCAAATGAATATATAAAACGACGTGAACAAGGACATTTACATCATCATCCGCAACAACGACGTCGAACAACAACATATCATGGAATTACAACACCAGCTAATACTCGACAAGCAACAATATTACAAAGAATTTTTGGTGTTGATCATCAAACATCTTCATTTAGTAAATAAAATCAAAACAATTGTTTTTTCTTCTTCTAATAATACTAAGTATTGAGTAACAATATTGATTTTTGTTTTGTTTTTCTTAAGTTCGTAATAATACATCGATACGTGAACAACGAAGAAATTCAAGAAAAATTATTGCTAATCTTACAACACAAAGTGCTGATGAACAACAAATATCATCATCATCACCATCAACGCCATCGAAACATAAACTTCAAACTCAATTAAGTGTACAAGATACAATTCAACGACATTTTTGTCAAATACTTAAAAATGATTCACTAACTGTCACTGATAATACGTCTATTACAGAAACATTACTTATGCGAGAAAATAGTTCATCAGCTGTTGCCACATTAAGTATGTAGAATTTAGTAATATTATACAAAAAAAAGAAAATTTTAATATTATAAAATTATCTCAAATAATTGAATAGATCGACCTACGCATTTATTAATGTCACAAATATGAATAAAACAAGAATATAAGAATATTAATTTAGAAAGGAAATATGTTGCCTTGTCTGAAATAACTTGTTCAAATATTAAATTTTACGCCCGTTACTTTTGCTTCCGAATAGGAAAAAATGCAAATATAGGATATCAATACTTCCCACACATCTGTTTGTTTTTCTTCATATCTCGTTAGTTATTAGATCAACAAGACAAAATCGAAATAGTTTTCATCATTGTCCTAAAGTAAGATTGTAACAGATGACAATGATTGATATCCGTCATATAATTCAATTTATAAATAATCAAAAGAAAAGATTTTCTTTTTCTATAAACTTTAAATTTATACAAAAAAAAAGCCCAAAAAACTAATAAAATAAAAATTTCTATTTAGATACGAATCAATTATCTCCTTTAATATCAAATGATGACGAAAATAAACGTCCATCATCAAATAAAAATCCTTCAAATAATAATAATAATAATGAATTATTATTACAAAAACAAGAAAAAAATTCTTCAACACCAATAACAAATCAAATTCAATATCGAATTTTACAACGTGGTCAACCTGATGAACCATCACCTATAATAAAACAATTACAATTACAAAATGAATTAGATACATCAGAAAATAGTACGCCAATTAAATCTCAACGTAATCGTCGTAAGTTATTTAACAACAAAAAAATAAATAATTTAATATATTCTATAGGACGTTCCGATCGACGTTTACAAAATGACATAAATAATAAACAACAAAATCAACAACAACAACAACAACCATTTTCAAATTTAACAAATAATAATTCTTCTAATGGTTTAAATTCTCATACATTTCGTTACGGTGGTCCACGTTGTTGGACACAATTTCGTCTTAATCGTTCCGAAGTTTTTCGTTGTCTTCGAGAGTGATTGAGAATGTTTTGTTTTTGGCAGTCATTACGATCAAAGTTTTCTTCATCTTCTTCATATGTTTATGTAAATAGGACAGTCAGTCAATTCTTTCGTTGTGTTCTTTCTTTTTGCTGTGCGCTTAGTTTTTTGTCTTTTTCTTTCATATATTTGTGTGTGTGTGTGTGTCTATCGAATGATAGTGTTTGTATGCGCAACACGTTATATATCTATCTCTGTATTTATCTGTATGTTTTTTCGTTGTTTTTGTGGATGTACTGTTGAATGATCAATATGTTTTTTTTTTGTTTCGTTACATTCCCGTTTTGTTGTTGTTGTTTTTTTTTTTTTGTTTTTCCGACAAATAGTTTCGACTGTTCTTGACATTTCTCAAGAACAAAAACTCTATATGTGCCAAACTTGATGGTATTTTGCTCGAGTTCTTTTCCTCCGAAACTTGCCCTACTCCCCGCTTGCATTTAGTTTTGTGCTATCTGAAAAAAAAAAGAATTTTCAGTACAAGCAACAGTTTGTTGTAGTGGTCTATTAATCTCGTCACATTAGTTTTTTTCTTTCTTTGTTTTCATAGATGACCAAAAACAAATGTGATCAGTTTTCTTTTTTTGCGTGTATGTTGTCGTTGTCTGTCTTAGTAGATTATTATTTCTTTGTTTCTTTTTTTTTTTGCACATGTTGTCTTGAAAGTTTTCTTTTTTTTGTGTATTTTGCGTGCGCATGTTCGATAATTGTATCTTAGTCTATTGTGCACGCAAATGAATGTGATATGCATACATTTTTCTTTTATGTGTATGTGCGATCATCATTTTTTGTTTCTTGTCTTCTTCTTTTCTTTGTATTGTTGCTGCTCTGTATAAACTATTTTGGGGCAACAGTTAAAAAAATTGTGTATGTGTGTGTGTGTGTGTGTGTGTTTTGTCTTTGGTAAGTGGCTATGTATGTTGTCGTGCGTATTATATATCAAAAGGGAAATAAATGAAACATCGAGAGAATTGTCTTAACTTCCACATCTGTTCAATGTCATTGTAAGATGACTGCAATTCAACCAGGGAATAAAGAATGTAAATTGCATCATAGGGGGCTTGTATAATTTGTGTATGTCAATTTTTTTTGTTTTTTTATTAATGACGGTAACTACTGAGTATGAGAAAAAAAAGGAAAGTCCTTCTTCCCTTTCCTCATTTTTTTTCTTCATGTTGTGTTCCATCTGCTTTGCTTTGTCGATACTACGTTACTTACTAACAATATAAGCAACACATTCACTTTTTCTTTTCCCTAGTTTTTCTGGCATTCTTTCTAACAGAATGGAATAATATTTGTGTGCACGAACGACGACAACGTCGAACAAGGATACTAGTCCTTGTGCCATAAAGAGAGAGAAAGAGAAAACTTCAATCTTGCTCACTCTCCTCTCTTTCTCTCTTGTCGAGTTCAGAGAAAAAAAATGTAAAGCCTAATAGCAACAGCAAAACTCATCATTCATTTGTCAGATGATTTTGGAATAAAAAACAGGCCTACAAAAAGGGTTTATGCCATACAAGAATACATTACATGATTAAAAAATTGATAAAAAGTAGTGTGAAGCAAAGATTTATTCGAATGCTTGTTGATGTAAATAATGATTTCCAGGCAAATATGATTTCAAAACAACCATCGAACAAAAATAGTACGTATAAAATCCTCAAAAACTAAAAGAAATTCAACTATTTTGCTTTTTATATGAAACCATTCATTTATCGAGGGATTTCTCTATATAATGTTAGTTCTTCATTAATCTATTTTTTTTCTCTTTTGTAAAGATTTTATCATTTCGTCGTTTTTTTTTTTTATTCGCTATCCATTTTCATTTACATGAATATATCATTTACTCTATTAATCTATTATAACTAGGCGATCCATTTCCATTCATATTGGTTATGGCAATAGTTTTATCCATTGTGATTGTTTTATTTATCGTTGGTTTAACTGTTACTCGATTTTATACATATTTTAAACGACCTAAAAAACAATCAAAAGATGTATCTTATAGTATATCAAGATATTGGCGTCGACAATTTGCATCAGTATCATTTGATAGTATTAATCCATCACCACCAATAAGTAATAATAATTCTCAAACAAATCAAGAAACAAATGAAGTAACACGAATTATAAAAAGTTCATTTTCATGGCCTGAATCAACATTAATTAATCAACAAAAACAACAACATGAAAAAGAAGAATGTTCATCAACACTATCATCATCATCATTATCACATTCATCAACAATGGAACATATTAATGAACCAGCTTCATTTATATTTAGCTTACGATGGAATGAAACTATTGGATCATTATTTGTTCGTGTTATTAGTGCACAAAATCTTTTTGTTTATCGTCGTCATCGACAGCCAACATTAATTGATTCGTATGTACGTATTGAACTTATATCAGCAGATAATGATAATAATACACAAGGTATGTATTTAAGGTTAATTAATAATTTCATTTAAAGAAAAAAACAAACAAAAAAAAAACGCTTCCTTTTATCTTTTTAAAGAACCTTATCAATCAATGCGTACTCATATTATTAAAAAAAATAATCATCCTATTTATGATGAATTATTTGAATTTTCTAATATTCGTCAAATAAATAATACTAATAATTTATCTCTTCTTTTTACTATATTAACTTATGATACATTTACACGAGATGAAATTCTTGGACAAGTTATATTTCCTATTATTTTACCGGATGGAACAACATCAAATGCTCTTCAATCAAATGAAGTAACATTTACAGAAGATATAACACCACGACATAAACAGGTGCAGAAAATTATTAAAAAAAAAATATTTAAATAATAAAACATATAAAAACATTCACAGTTGGTATTATTATCATATTTTTATTTAGTTTTGTAATCAACAACTTGGTCAAATGCTCATTTCATTATGTTATCAACCAATTGACAGTACAATAACATTAATTGTTTTAAAAGCATCAAATTTACCTCGTATAAGTACAACAAGACTAATAAGTAAATAGTCAAAGCATTTTTTTTTCATTATATTTATGTAATAGAATTTCTTTTTCTTTAGATCCTTATTTTAAAATTTATATGTTCTATAAAGGACAACGTATAATTAAAAAACGAAGTACTATTAAACGATCAACACAATGTCCTGTTTATAATGAATGTTTTACATTCCATATACCTGATAATGATTTAAAAAATATTCATTTTGATATAATACTTTTTGATTATGATCATCATATGAAACATGAACCAATTGGTACATTTTCAATCGGAAATAATACTAATGAAATTAATCAACATTGGAATGATGCATGCCATCGACAAATAACGAAACAAATAGCTCAATGGTATCAATTAAAACCATTTAGTATATTAAATTATTAACAAATACAAACCAAAAAAAAAAACCAGACAAACTAGTATTTTTTTTATGCATGTCATATACGTATAGAAAAAAAAATCATAAAATATGATTATCTAATATTCAATTGTATTATTTTTGTTGTTGTCAGTATCGTTCTATTATTTAATAAATAAAGATTAAAAAAAAAATAATTGATTATTTTATTTGTATTCCTATGGACCAACAAAGCGAGAAAGAGAATATTCCTATTAGAGAACTATTCATTTTACAAGATAAAAATAGATTAGAATTGAAGGTCTTTTTCATATATATATATATCTGATTAAGATGTTACTTGTCTATGAATGATGAGTTATATGAGAATTTTTCAAAAGACCAATTGTGAATTTATTAAAACGGAAGGATTCTCGCTTCACTTCCGGGCTAACAGATCATCGTCAATATTCTATATTTTTCATTGCATATTGAGTATATTTTTAAGAATATAAAACAAACAACAGACGAATCTTTCGTGTGCTACTCTATATGACAAATATTTTATACATTGAAGAAAATCTTTTGGTAATTTTTTACTACAAAAAAAAAAAAAAAATTTGATATCACTTTTTGAATATTATACTGTAAATCCTTGAAGCGTTTGATCCGATTACTTTGAAGATTGTATTTGATTTAAAAGAATGTAAAATGATATAATGAAGATAGATTTATATTCATATATAAACGCTTAGAGCTCAATTTGAATATTCAACAATCATTACTATTTGGAAAAATAAAACTTCTGTTAATTGATAAATACTATAAATATAGTCTGTTATAAATCCCGAAATAAGTATCTTGAGATTTAAGACTCAATTTGGAAGATTTACTTTTATAAATAGAGTAATGTGCATGTCTGTTAAACCGTTACGAACGTTTCAAAATGTCGTCTAATTTTTTCGTGTTTGACGATATTTATCTTAGTATATTCAAAGTATGGAGAAGTGCTATTAAGTGGTTATTCCATTCACTTTAAGTATTTTTATGTAGGTTTACATATTAGAATGTGATGCTTTTTTGATGGAGTTCTTAAATGATTTTTATATGAATAGATTCCTTTGACATTACTCTTTCTTCTGACGAAAAATTTTATTTATTTATTCGTTTAATTTTAAAATGAATACATTATATACCATTATTATTCTATCATTTGACAAATGTAATAATTCTTTAAGTTACTTGATTAACAAACAATGTTTATAAAGAATTCGACATCTAACCGATTTGTTGATGAAGTATCAATATGTTTTGTAAACAAATAACAAATGTCACAAAAAGTCTTATCGAATAAATTAGTTTTGCTTTCAATAAAATCAGCATTTTCTGCTTTTTATAACCATTTATCGTATAAAGAAAAAGAATTTCTTCAAGAATTAGTTGTAATATATTTCTCAACATTTATATCCAATGATATAAATCTTTCAAGAGGAAAAGGTTTGACTGTCGTAATATACTCATGTCATTACGCTTCATACGTCACTCAATGCCAAATAGATCAGGCAAATCTACTATCTGTATAATTATATCTGCTATGTTCAATCGAATGTAAAAATTCTTTCAACATTCAATTTTTTTGTTTTGATCAAATTATTAGTGTGCAAATATAACGAAAATCAAAATAAGACAATAAAATTTATTGTCTTTTCAAATATCATTTGATTATTCATTGAAAATTGACAATATTTAATTATAGAAATAATCTTGATCACAATTCTAATTTGACTGATTAAACTATTCATGATATGTATTGACATAATTCAAAATTCGGAAATAAATAATCAATACATAATAAAATTACTAATAAATTGTTTTTAATATGAAAAAAAAAAGTTCCTTATATTGTACATTTTCTTAGTAAAGACTTATTTTTTTTATTAGATGTTTCGACCTACTTGCTCTTCTTAATATTCTTCAATAAAAAAAATAAAAAACGTATTAGTAAACTATGCCATAGTTGAAAAGAAAATAATTTTTCATATCCTGTCGGATGTAGACATTATTTAATACAATTAAACTAAGTTTATCAGAATAAAAAAAAATAAAACTTATTTCCGCACAATATTTAATAATAAGTCATAAAATGAATTTTTCTCCTTATTAAACTATAAAATAGCCATTGTAAGACAAAACAATGTTCACTCGATCAATCATCGCCTTCTTTTTCTCCGTTCTACATTTGTCCTTTTAGAGCGCCACAATCACTCAACACAATAAATATATTCTCTTTTTTTTTTAGGCAAGTGTATATGTCCATTCGTCTTTTTCTTCGTGTTGTATATACATATCCTTAGAAATCAAATTAAAATTGCAGATTATTTTATAAGAGTGCAATTCTCTTCTGAATAAATCGTAGTACATGTATATGTACACACACACACACATACAAAACGAAGGGTTAAGTATATATAAAATATTTTAGAAGAATTTGTGAGCATTTTTTTCTTTTTTCTTTTATTGTGTCTGTCTTATTTGACGCTCGTGTTGTCAATAACAAAAATGATTGTTGTTTTCTTTTTGATTATTATTATTTCGACCATAACTACTTGAAATAAGTTTTTATTTTTTTTAATCATTAGTACACAATGAACAATCGTTAGGTTAATCTTATTTTACAAATGGAAATATGTCCTTGACCTCGACCTTTTCTCTGATCATTATAACCTTTTTTCTAATAAAGAAAGAAAGAAATAACTTCATTTATAGGCAACAGGAATGACCATCAACACCTGTTTCTTAGTTTTTTTTCTCTAATAAAAAGTAAATAACATAACGTTTGAAGACAAAAAAAAGTATTTTTTTTTGTGAAAGAAAGAAAAATCAAACAATCATAAGATAGAAAAATGTCGTATGTTGAAGTGAGAGTAAGATGATGATTATTGCTTATATCAGTTTATCCTTTTTTTATATTTATACTTGCTTAGTTTTCATCTTTTCTCTTTTAATAAAATTTAAATATCTATTAAATTGTTCAAAGAATATTCATGCGTTCTTTCATTATACTGTATTCTTCTATTTACAATTCCATTGTTTTCCTTTCTACACTTTCTCAATTGCCACGTTCTGTCCTTCGAATAAACTTACGATTTTCACAATTTTTTTCCTCGTCTCATTATATGATTTTCATTTGTTGTATGTGTGCAGACGACAAAGCGAGAGAGAGAGAGAGAGAGATTTTGTATGAATGTCTACTGTCGTTTATTTGCACAATTGCGCTTGCTCGTTCCTGTGCCTTATGTGTTCATATTCGTTTTATCGTTGAAAGAAAATGAGAAGAGGGAGAGAAAAGGGAAAAAAAGATGCAAAAAAGACATCATATTTGTTGATTTTTTATTTCTCTGTTCTTTTTTTTTTAAATATGCTTCTTTGTTCTCGTTTTTTGATAGAAAAAAAAAACACACACACACAGAAATACAATGATATAAAAGTGTGTGATATCGATATTAGACCATCACTTTTGTTTGGAATGACGAACAAGTATGGTAAAGTGTAAAGAGAGAAATGACGACTTATTTATTTGTTTACGAATGGAGCGCTACGAACGCCTACACTTAATGACATTCTCTGCAAAAAAAAACTACGAAGGAGAATAGGGGAGAGATGAAAAATAGAATATGCTTGACTCGCCGCCATAGTGTGTGCGTTGTTCGGGGAAGGTTAGTTAAAGCACAAATGTATAGTTCTTTCTCTATCGTAGTGTGTGTCGACGTCTCTTTTTCCTTCTTTTTTTCTTTATTACAAGCGTCCATGTTTGTCTTCAATGGATGATGGTTGAATTCGTTGTTCGCATCATCAACATCCCGCATACACATATATATATATATATTCAATCGAGCTAGACAAAATCTGAACATTGAACTATTTTCTTTTCTTTTTCTTTTCAATTGTATTGTTTATTCCTAAGATTTGTTCATATTTGTTACTATTGATATTCATTAAAGTAACAATATAGGATATTCTATACAATGAGATATTATGAATGATATAGTATATTGATAATACTATTAATTTTAGTTATTTATTCTTAATGAATATAGATTTGATATCATAGAATGATTGAAACATATGTGAGTACATAAACATTTTACTAAAAAGAAGATTCTATAATACGCTGAAAGACGATGATGACGATAAAACATCAACCCTTCGTACGAACAAAAAAAAATAGGAGAATGGAAAAAAACGGAATACAGGGTAAGTCATGTTCGTCGAGTAAAAAGAGAGTAGACACATGATAGCGATGATTAACCCCTTCCCGCTACGTCCAACATTGCCGGTAAACAAAACACATCAACATGCACAGGATGGAATTGCACGGAGACGAGAAGGTTCTGTTCCTCACCTGTCTCTTCGTCATTTGCACTGTGTTCTTATTGTTGTTGTTGTTCTTTTTTTTTTCCTTCTTTTATTTCTCAAGTTATTCGATAAGTTGAATATGTATTCATGTGCGCATGTTAGTCAACGTAAAAAGCTTTATTTCCTATAGAAACCATCTGTTCAGTTTTAGTTTTTTTACATTTCTTCATATTGTAACAACGAAACAAAAAAATACAATTATTTCAACTTGATTTTTTTTTTGTAGATTTTTTTTTTAATCAATTAAATACTAATAAAATCTATTATGATACCAAATATTGGACTTAAACGTAAATCATCATTAGATAACAGTAATATACCAACAACTCATAATAGTCCAATGTCAACATTAACAAAACGATTTCGTGGTACTACATATGATGGGTAAGTCGAATTTTAAAAAAAAAGAAGAAGAAAGAAATGAAAGCTAAGGGCGTTACCCCATACTTTGCCCGCTGCCTTATTCGTTCGTTCAGTCATCCTATATTTCTTTTCTTTTTTTCTATGCGAATATGATGATTGTCGTGGTAACGTTCAATTGGCCGTCTTCATCGTCGACGTTAGTAGTGGCGTTCCACCATCACCAGCAGATAGATATTTTCATCCCTTCTTTTCTTTTTTTCTTTTTTTT